AGTGTTTTCTATGTCTTTTTAGCTGACATTATAGTACAGCGCCACTTTAAAACGGTCAAACAATTTGCTGATCGCATCCTTAGTGAGGTGGCTCACCATCTTTACTGTGAACTAATGGCTGCGAAGTCTTCCCGTACGATGCGCCGAGGCTTCCGTCATATGTATTGCCGTACATCGGCATATAAGCACTCTGTACTCCCATTCCTAGCACGCTACCTCACGTGTGAAGAAGCGGATCTCGAGAAGATGAAAGCCGATCGGTCTCCATAGTAGATGTGGATATCGTATAAAACCTTAATTTTGAGTATCATATGACCTTTTACCTTTTACTATGACCCCTTATTTACCTTAGCCTTTGCTGAAAGTTTAGGATATTCCATTCTAAATATAGCATTCCTCCCTCTCGACAAAAAAGTCCACTGTATGAGTGGAGAGATTAGGTTATTCGAGTTCCTTGTATTCCCGCGACGAATTGGTATTTTTGCTTCCAATATAGAGTACATTGGAGGAGCCCTGAGTGACGAGCAGCCTCATCTACGAGCATTTTAGGTAACGAGCTAACGACTCACAGAAACTTTGTTTCCATTGACGAGCCTCCGCTACGTTAACGAGCTGCCAGTGTCTGTGTATGTGCCTGTGTCCGCCGTTGAATCGTGCTCCGTCGGTCGCCTGCAGCCAGTCAGTGAACTGAGGCAGTTTGATTGGCTGCCTAACTGTTTTACTTCTCATGGTATTCCGGTGACGAAGTGGTATTTTTGCCTCCAGTATATACATTAAAACATTTCTCTACAATGGTTTGTCCTATGTTTTGATTGGACGTCGTGGTCCGATGAGGACAGAATGTTCAAGAAACCTAAAACTTCACAGCTTCAAAGAGAAGCGCTGTAGTGCGATGCTTAAGATTGAATGCAAATGAAATGATAAAGCAATGGCTCGTAAAAGAGGAGTACAGTAGAAAGAAGTAGTGGCACAGACAAGGAAGGTCGGAACGTCCACTTCCGGCTAGATTACTGTCACCAGTCAACCAAATCACGAGCCGGAAGGGTCTGAGATGCGAATGCTCCACCGGTCGAGTTTTTGGCTGATGCCCTGTCACCATCGAACAGAAACAGTCAACTTTTAAAAGTGACTTTTTACTGACTTGTTGCAGTTATTAAGATGGAAATTCCGTTTTACTCTGGAGCATAGGTTTGGGGCCGTCGCAGGCGGTAACGCTGAGACAGGCATAAAACATGCCGACAGACGGTAAAACGTCCAACGTCACCTTTTGTTTAAATTACTGCTGCTCTCGGTTAACCCAGACAGTATTGTCTTTTTGCTCTGCTTTTTAGTTTGAGTGCTGTGGGATCAACGGCTACACTGACTTTGCCAATGAAAACTTGACTCGTCTGTGGTATGCGGAGGGCCGAGTCTATGTCGACGCTACTGGAGCCCAGAGAGTGGGTGATGATATCGGTATTCCGCCCGCTTGCTGTCGCTTCAAAAGAAAGGGTTTCAGTCTAAACAGTGAGTATTTTTTTTTACCTTGACACTTCCTTTCCTTCTTCTCGATCAGCACAAATGTTTGTGAATTTTATTGTTAATACATTAAATCGTCCTCCAGGTGAGATAGCTTACATATACAGCAGGGCATTGCTCTGTGGTCCGACAACATCCGCCTGGCACTTTTAGACAACCTTGCCTCTAGATGGGATAAATAACTATGGCTATTTAGGAACTGGGTAAAAGTGTAATTTAGGGTCCCAAACAGCTTATTTCCATAACCCAATATCTGCGTGAGATAACTAAATGGCCCAATAACGTTTAATGGGACACAATTGCCGACACTATATAAATTCTATACTATCTCTATATGCACTCTATATAGAGATGATATAGATTTGCCGACCGTGTCCAATTGGGCACTGCTGGGCCTTTTTAATTACCGCGCGCAGGTATTTGGTTATGTGGTTACTTAGACAATTATTCCTATTGTTTTCCACTTTAATACGCTCTGTTTTTAAATTATTTTTTATTGACTTCAGCACGACTTGTTTTAATAGTCACCTAGTACAATTTAGTGCGGAAAAGACACGGAGATGTGAGCGCCGGAAGAAAAGTTTTATTCGCCGGATGACTCGGATCCACTCTCGAACCTATATTGAGGTACCGCATCAGATAACGATGCTGCCTGTAGAAGTGTCGCAATATTTTTTAAATATGTGTATTTTCCATGCCGTTTCACATCTATTCCAATCAACGGCTCTTGCATTCATCGCAAATGGTTGAATGTAGCGCGATAATAGCTTGATGATCCTCAGTAGATTCATTAATTGTCACAGTATCATCACTCTTGTTGGCCATTTGGCTCACTAACACTGGTGTTGGGCGCACTGTTTTATCTTGCGCTCTCATGCATTCAGTTCACGCGGAGTCACAGCCCTAAATACAGTAGGTAACCTCACTCATGAAATCCAGGGATTTTTACCAGTAACTCCCTGTTACTCAAACGCAGACCAAGCTGCGGCACCTAAAGTCTTACTACAATAAAGTAATGGTCGTTCTTCCCAATAGGACATATTGCGATTTATAAAGGAATATAAAGTTTCATAGAAATACCAGCTTTTTAGAAAAATATAAAATTCCGAAAAAGTGGAAAGCGGGCGTACTACGCAAAATTAAGTTCTACGTGTAGCGGAAGCCTATTCATTCAAAACCACCGAGTGAAAATAATCCTTTCGTAAAATTTTCGGATATATATGCCTCCATATTAAGGGCAATGTAATGTATGGCTATTACCGAACAGCCCAAATTTAGAGTATGTATTTCAACACGTTTTCACGAAAATTTCTAGTTTTTTACTTTCTTTTATGCAGTGCTTGAGTCACGTTGGGCTAAGGCAACCGCATTTTCGCTTGATATGGCTTATTGGGAGATCACAGGAGTAAGATATTTCGTTAGCTCGCCTGTGGACATGCCGGTTAGTGGCTAATAAATTTAAATGGAATTGTCAGGTGCAATTGTAAACGTATCATTTTTTTCTACATTAAGAGTAATTCTCTTCCGCCACATTCCTTTGTAATTATTTTGGCATTTTGATTACGAAGAGGTTCAGATCTTCCTGGAAATTCCAATGAAAACTTCACCATTTTCATTGGCTTCAATCGATTGACCATAAATAATGATTATATTCTAAGTGCTTACCAAAACCTTCAAAAAACGAGGTTTCTTAAAAGCATTTACCTAAATAACGAGCTTTTAAAGATTCTTTCTTATGCAGCTGTCTGTGTGTGTCACTGTTTCAGAATCACCCAAACATGTCAACTCATTGCCGAGAAAAATGTATGTCCAAAATAAAAGTCGCTAATGAATATGCCTAAGATTGATTTAAAAAATTTCTATCACAAGTTACCTCTTGAAAAAGAGCTTTATTTATATATTTTGGCGTCGCATATCTGCGTATTTTATTTGTTTGAAGATGCAGTCACGATCAGAATGGGACATTTTGGCCGGTTTTTTGATTTTCCTAAAAATTAGAGATACATCTTCTGTTATAAATGAAAAAGCTAACTTTTCTATTTAAACCAGAACAGTTTTCAGTATATTTGGTTACTTCTAGGCTCAGTTCTACAATAATAATAGTGGAGTAGAATGGCAATAATATCAACGGCGATTTTAAGAAAACTTTTTCGCAATGTCCCGCGACAACTTACTCGAATGTGTGTTATGTTAACTGTCTTCAACTTCTTTTATAATACAGCATGCATAAACTGGAAGTTTTTCCACAGCGTTTAATAGCATAGGAGATTCCTTGGATAGCAACAAACGCTGGATTTCGCCCATTTCCGCCTCTATTTTCCCCCAGTATACTGACATGAAGGGAACTCATTTCTAGTAAACAGCATTTTGCGCCTAAAGTCAACGCAACGAACAAAATAAACAACCTCAAATGTGTGTTAAAACCCCCTACTCAAATGTTGATCTTCATATTTCATCAGATATTCAATCTTCTGTATGTATAAGGAAGTCAATGTGCCTGTTAATGAACTCTGGGCCATAAAACCATGACTCAAGTAGCTCGCAGTTTACTCACAAAGACTTTGGCTTCGTCAGACTTAAATGTATAACCGGGTCCCATCACATGTACTTATCGCACCACTAACCAACGTGGATTGGATTCACTACAGGATTTAGCTTACAAATTATATTTTAGGGACAAAGGTTAAGATAATAGGCTAGAGTTAAAATATTGGGATTGGGATTGCTTGGGAACAGGAGTTAGGCTATCAACGTTGTCAACTGCAATTCTATCTGCGATCCCGGTCATCACGGGAGGTCGAAATTAACTATTTATTCTTCACATTTTCTTCTTCATTACGAGGGCGCTGGGGTACACTTCGCCTGAAAAAGCTGACCAATGCCATTGGGTCATCTTTTTTCTGCCCATTTGCAGCTCCTGATTTCCCGTATATCCAGAGCCTGGTTTAAAAGTAGAGGCAAAAGGACCAAAAATAAGGTCGGGTAGTGGCTGAAAGCGGTAGCCAGCCCGCCTACGCTTGTCCCGCACGTATGATTATTTCACCGGATCCCAAATCAGTGGGACGGCCATAGAGGTCACATTAACAAGGGAACTCTGCAGTCTGACGTTCGTCGTCGTAAGAAGGGGACCAAGCTGTCTCTTAGGGTTTGCATCCATCCAAGCCAGAGTTTTGTCACATCGTGCTAAATTCGAGCGTGCCAAATTTTCTATAATTAGGAATGTACTGAGCTACCGTGGGAATGGAGCCCCCAAGTCGGCTACACACACTCTCTCTTCCCTCTCCCCTGGGACCACCAATGCAAATATGCGCACGAACACTGGTGCTTCAGTTGCGTCCCGGACGCGGTCTACCCGGGTAAGCCGTAAGCACTCCATTGAATCGAAGTTCATTAGCAGCTCGTCGGCCGACCTCACCGGTCGCAGCATATGGGATGTTTATTTACAACAGGGGGACGAAGCACTGCATGAACTCCGCTTAAGTGAAGTATTTGTAACCCGTTTGATCGGCTGCTATGTAATCAAGTTCGCCAAATGGTCTTCTGAATCAGGCGGAGTGAATTTCCGCAGAACTACCTAGAGGACAAGACTAATTAATGCGCACCTGGCCAACAGGCATGTCTTGTAGTTCGGGAAAGCAGAAGACGTGTAGACAGCTCTACCAGGCGTTATACCATGCGTACCTGCAAAAAGAAACTTCAGATTGAATTATCTTCTCCTTTTTTGAGGGACAATTGTCTGAGCGTACTGTTTATGTGTTTTGCTAGTAGGCCAACATAGACAACGTTTGGGCGTAATCTAGGGTCATGATCAGTATCCCTAATGCGTGTTACTACAGGTTTGTTTCCTTTCTATTTTTGAATCTCTTTTATTACTTTATAGGTTTCAGACAAGTTTGCGTACAATTGAATTTCTGATTTCAGTCATCGCGCTCGTTCACTGTCTGAGTAGTTCGGGCTATTAAAATAGATTGTTGGCGAGGTTGTGGGATGATTTGTATGGACAGGTCGTCATTATGACGGTTTTGACAATTCGCTATTCGATCTTTCACTCAAAGATTTTGATCCAAATCTCCACAATGACCGCTAACCGAAAAAGAAGCCGTCATGCGTTAAATTGTGGTGCTTCTGATCAATAGCGTGGATTCCGAGTAGGCTCTTATCGCGAAAAATCAGACACGAAACTTGATTTTAAAATGAGTGCGGAAGACATCCAGCCGTCTCTACAGGAGCCCATTCGTTTGTCTGTCGAGTTTCTTACCAGTCCCACGCCCCACACGCTCCGGTGCCTTTCGACTCACGGCTTACATCTTTTGACAAATTCTTAAGACAACTGTGCCCCTGGGGATTTTGTTAATCGGCCCATTGTCCGTCTGAGGTTCAAAGTTCCGAACCTTCATTGTCTCCTACCTCATATCACATTTTTTCTTTCCAGAGCATTTAATTTTGTCATGATTCTGACAATTCGACCGTCAATCACCCTGAAATCAACTACCTCTTTCTCACCTTACAGCTACTTTTGCTGAGCTCCACCCATTCATGGTTAATCCAGACTGCCCACTGAAACCGATAGACGCGTACCATCCAGAAGGCTGCATTGATGTCATCACACAGAACATGAGGACCTATGCAGTTGCCTTCATCATCATCCCCGTGGTCATTGCGGTTATAGAGGTAAGTTGACTTACTGGGCTAGGCAACTGTTTGCATAACGTTGCTGTAAGGTTTATGCCAATTTATAAGCTACTCATGCAGGACTCAAGGGTTGACGTATATCCACTGCATTTTGTCGCTACGACCTAAGATTAATTGGCTTCCTAATCCACAGCCTTAAGTAATCGAACTTATCTTCAGCAAGGGAAAAGCAGCGATCTGCGTTCTCTGTCTTATGAGAATGAACAGATGAAACTTTTATAAGTGATCTTTTGGAAGCATAAAAATGTTCGGATTTAAGATCAAACCAGCTTGTCTAGGTCTATAGGCAAGATCACCGTAACAGATCACCCATAGTCTCAGCCACGCACAACAGTTTGTGGACGAAAAGCCAATGTTTTTAAAATGAGAGAGTTTGAGACAATCCATATTAACTTTAAATAACTTCGAAGGATTTTCGTTGGCGCTTCACAATTTTGTTGGTAACTACCAAGCCATCGTTATGACAAGCCTTAGAGACTGGAGTTTTCAGGTATGCCCATGATATTTATGTAAACTTTCCAATAGAAAACGGTTTTTCCATAGCCTCGATATGGTCACCAACCAAAAGGCCTTTGGTCTGCTCTTTCACGAGTCAGATATGATGTGCTGGATCCATTATCGGGTCCCAAGTGTCCTCCATATGGCTTCTAGCGTATAGCCGTTGGACAATTCGTCTTACTTGCACAGGAAATGAGACGTGGTGGATAGAGTTTCTCAGATCTATTATAACAGTATGCTCTAACTCTAGTACTGTTCTTATATAGCTGCAGAATATCGGCTTGAGCTTAACTCCCTAGTTATTATAGACTGTACCGTACCTAATGACATGCTTGAAAAACATTGGTTGTTATCTACGGCGCATGCAACCGTTGCTTTTTCTGAATAAAATATTCAATTTTATTAAAAGAGCACGTTACTTTAACTTTTAACAAGGAAATTTGGGAAATGTTAAGTATTCAAAACAACTAAACATTTTAAAAGCTTTGCCCCACTGAAAACTATGTAAGACATAACATTCAGCTTTAAAGCCCCTGGATCTAAACGGAGGAAAATTAGTGTTTTAATTGCTGTGGCCTTCCAAGGAAAATAGTATCTAAAAATGGTGTCTCCACTGAAGTCAACCTTTCCCAGCCGAGCTAGCTTAACTTGATATAGATGATCACTGTTTTACCGGTTAAGACAGAAACTCAGCACTGCCCTTTCGGTGGCCTACAAAGAAGAAAGCATGCGACGCTTTAATTGGGTGTCTGAGAGTTAAGCATTTCAGCTAGTGGATAAACTCCAGAAAGTCTAACAGGTGGACACAGTCATTGGACTGAATGAACAGCTGACATGACCGCAAATTTCCAGCCAGCTTTTTTGCAACCCGAAAAGTCACTTGCCAGGTTGAAACAACCTGCGGTCACCAGTGTGAGCCTGGTGCGTAAATAACGATTTGAAATCCTAGTCTGCCCCCAGAACATCGTTATGGATCTTGACATGGTGTGTTCCAGGGGCTAATGATGAAACGTTATTAACTTTTTGTGAGTAAAAATGCTGAAATTATAAATGTGCTCTCTATGTTCCAAAGCTTAAAGTGCATTTGAACTGCAATGTTTCCTTCGTTCCCAGATAATTGGCGTGATATTGGCTGGTGCCTTGGCCCATGAACTGAAACAGGAGGCTAGAAGACCGTTTTGATTGCCCCCTCCAGTGTACACCCGATGACCTAAAAAAGCCAGCCAAGACTGATCGGACCTGTTCATAATTTTTTCGTTCTGTTTTACGTGATTGGCTTCTTCTCTTCGTTGTATCATCTACATTTACCCAGATTACAACCTGGGAAACACAAGATGCTTCGTGTAGCCTATTTGAACGCAACTGATGCAAAAGCGACGTTTTACCTCGCTCTTCTTATCCTTTGGCTCCATCTGCATTTTATTAGCCAAAGATTTCTGTTTCATGCGATGCGCGGCGTGGCCTGGCGTGAGCGGATTCATTGAGTTCGGCGAAAATTATGCTTGGCAGATAAGCTACGACTTTGTGGCTCATCCTTTAACGCTTACCGCAACATTGTAAAGAGACCTAGAGCGTTACGTTTTACATTACAATCTTGCTGGCCTAGACTCTCCAGGGACATATAAGGTACTCCTCACCATGCTTCAATTAAACAGAACTCTGGGCGTCGGATTAACAAATTTCATATTTACTACGCGGGGTTGAAGCTCCCGAAAAACTGAGTTCACAGAATGAGGTACACGCGCCGGGACAGTATGCTCATACCATGCTGGTATTGTTAATATACCTCCTTTTCAACTAACAGGATAATGAGCCCTTGGCTCAAAGGTTAGAGCGTTGGACTTCTAACCAACAAGGTCGCCGGTTCGAATCTCGAGAGTTTTAAAACCTAGGAGGGCTGGCTGCTGACGACCAAGAAGCCAGAAACTATCATTCCAGTTTCCACTGTCTTGTTCGGCATTGTTATCGCAGGGGGTTAAGTCAGTTAAACCCTGACAACTGCGATCTTTAGACCATGGTTACTCAGTAGAAAGAGAAGTCTAGGAAATTCCAGAGTAGTGAGAACAGTATATTGTGTACACAGAGGAACGAAGAATAGATGGAAAGAGATTTG